AATTATTTTAACAACAATTTTAATAGAAATAAACAGTATTATCACAATAGAAATAAATGTCAAAATAAAACACAAAGAAGATACAAACAATATCAAACCATAAATATTAAAAAATATAAATAAGTATTAATAACAAAATTTTTAAGAATTTGATTTAATTGATTTTAATAATCCTCATCATGGTATTAATATTAATGAAATATTTTATACCTTCAATTAATGATTTAATTATTAATAATTAATCATTTCATGCAATAAAACATATATTACAAAAATATGAAAGAAATAAAGTATTAATAATATTGATATATTTCAATATAAGTATATACAAATAAAATATATTCATAAAATAAATAGAAATACACAAATAAATACAACATAACATAAAAATAATATCATTATTTACAAACAATACAATATTAATGATAAATTAATACACAAAGAAACAGTAATAAGAATAAAGACACTAAAATTACAATTAGACTTTCCCTATGATACATACAACCAATAATCATCAAAAATATGAAATACTTAATGTTTTACACAAATAATTCTGATAATATAACAGAAGAAGAAACAAATAATTCACACAACATATAAATAAATACGAATTGGAAGTAGAGAATATTAAGAAACTGAAATAAATATTTACTAATAGTCATAACACTAAATGTATGCATGTCTATTAATTAACCTTTTTATCTTTCATTGTTTTTCTCAGTCTAGCTATTTATATTTTTGTGGCTTTTACTTCTGAACCTCTTTTACTTCTCAGTTTTGTTTCTTCTTCACAGCTGTTTTTTCAATACTGATTTGTCTTTTTGTTGTGGTTGTGCTTTATCATTCCCCAATCATCTCTTTGACCAAGCCTTATCTCTTGTTTTACACCCAAAGTATATTTCTTTTCCCTTCTTCTTATTGTATATCTTATAACAACTACCTTTTGCCTTGACCAGTATTTAGTTAGTATTTCCATCATTGAGTCAGTTCAAATCAAATTTAACTAGATGAAATGAAATAGTATTAAACTATACCTAATATTTAAAACATATTTATATCATTTTTTTTAAAAGACAAATCAAGCAATAGCCATTTCTTAATATGCAATTTCAAATGCATTCTGGCTGATATCAAAAAGCCTAACAGTTTGTGGAATAGTGCAAGTAGTTAATGTGGGACAATGTGTAATGCGCAAATAATAACATGTATATAATGAATCTAGCCCAACTATTGAATTAAGACAATAGCAAGCATTGATTGAAAGATAACAAATAGTGAGCGGAAGGTTGAGTACTTTGATTTTTGAATTATTTGATAACTCGAAGTATACAATTTTTGTGATGTTTAGATTTAAAAATGTTCCTAGGTTATAACACAATTTACATATTAGTGTCTTCAATGAAAATGGTGTTTGTAAAACCTCAATTGATGTACAATTTTCTATTTCCATTGATTTGAGTTGTGAATTTGGTATATGAATTAACCCTGTCAATGATGGTAAAGTTTTTAACTTAATCATTAAAACATTATATGGGATTGAAATTGTACTAATATCCTCACAATTTTGCATTTCAATTGATGTTAAATAATGACAATTCTTCAAGGAATACAAATTCCCTACTTTAGAATTTTCTATTTGAAGTTCCACTAAACTAGTTGGAATATTTATTCCTTGTCTTGCACTTACATTGCTAATCACTAACGTTCGGAGGTTCTTGTCAGGAAGCCCTTCAAAACTCTCTATTCCCTCTATCCCTTTAATTCTTAATTCTTTAATTCTTTCTGGGTATTTTATATTTTTCTTGTCCCATTCAATTTCCATCTTTCTCATTTCACCTTCTACATTGATATAACTTTTACCTTCATCAATTCCTTCCTTTGGCATTCTTAGTATCAGCTCTTCAACCTTTGCCATAAGTGTTAATTCCTCTAATCTACTACTTATTTCAACGTGACTCATCTGTTTTCTTCCTTTAACCTCCACTTTCCTTATACTATCACAGTATTTTATAGTTAGTTCTTCTACCCTCTCTGGAATTCCCTTAATCTTTAACTTTCGACAATCCACTATTTTCAATTTTCTTATTTCCTTCTTTTCTTCTATCTTATATATTTCTTCAAGTTTGTTGCATCCTTTGACTCTGATTTCTTCTACTTTCTCAGGTATTAACAACCGTTGCATGTCATTGCATTCTTTAACCTTAATTCTTTTCAATGCTTTATATTCATAGAGTCGATATAGGTCATAATATTTGTCCCTTATATTCTTGATACCTATCCTTTCTAAAGTATTTGGAAGATAAATAGGAGCTTCCTTATCAAGGTTGCTCATCTTCAATTCTTTCAGTTGTATCTGTTCTAGTCTCCATTCATCTTCTAGTCTTCCTTCTCCTTGAAACACTACTTTGAGACTTTCTAGTCCACTTGGTAATTTGATTGATACCATTGTTTCAATACTACAATACAATTTCATTCTTCTTAGAGTCTGAAATATATCATATGTCCAAGTCATTCTACCTCGTTTTTCTACTCCCCTTTCTATTTCTTCTTTGAACCTAAGACTTTCAAGAGACTGGAAAAACCAAGGTCTTTGAATTAACTCACCTTTTAGCTCTACTTTTTTTATCAGTGGTAACTTAAAAAAAATTTTATGCCCTTTATCTGCTGTACAATTCCCTATTCCAAAACAAGTGATCCCATATAACACAAAAATTGACCTCCACTGTGCAATTTCTTTTGTTGGTTTTGTCATTGTTATTCCTTTGATTACTTTCTTATATAAGACTATTTGTGTTGATAATAACTTTACATCTTCATCAGTTATTTTTTTATTTGTTAAAAAATAAAGCATATTTCGTGGTGTATTTGCTATGTTTTTCTGTACAATCCCTGATTCTATTCCTTTCTTTAAATAACAAATGCCTTGACCACGCCACCTTCCTATTACCTCTTTAATTATTTCATGTTCCACTATATCAAAATGGTGGATGATTATCATCTTTAGATATGACCTCCCAATCATCTCCCCAATTTCTTCTTTAGTTCTTCTTTCTCCATCATTTTTCCACATAACCAATTCACTTCCTATTTCTAATCGTCTTAAATTACTAAACATCCCTATTTCATTCATTATTAAATATACATTCCTTGTTCGTCTTCCTTTTTTAATACTTATTCCTTGTATCTTCCCAAATATTTCTGGTTCTATACAAAGAGCTTCTTCTGGGGTTTTTTCATCTATCTCAATCTCTATCCCTCTAATTCCCTCTAGACTTTCTTGCCATATTAGTTCACCCATTCTCTCAATACTTCGGTTATTTATTATCACTGAAGTCACCATTGGAAATACTTCTTTAAACTCTTTACTATAAGGTATTAAGCTAGGATATTTACTTGTTCTCACACTTCTCCCATACTTTCTACTTACCATCACATACCTTTCAATATCTCTCAACTCTTTAAAGTACGATCCCACTATTTGTATCGACAACACATCCATCTCTATTTTATTTTTTAGTTCTTCTTTCTTTCATTCTCTCTTCTTCAATTTTTGCTTCTCACCCTTTTTTTATTTTTTGAACTTTTAATAATTAGAAATAAATATAAAAGTTCAAATTACTGTGCCTTTCCATTGTTTTCGAAGTTTCATTATTTTGAGAATTTACAAATAATAAAAATTTTCTTTATTTTTTCATAACTCTTTCTATTGTTGAAATTTCTTCTTTCTTTGAATTTAATTTCTTTCATTTACGTTCATTAATTTAATAAAACAAATATTCTTGTATTATTGGTTGATAATCAACCGTGCCTTGTGTGTATTTTGTTGTAACGAAGAATAGACAATTATGTTAATCCATTCATGAAATTACTTGAACACACTTTTTCATGAATAATCGATTAGAATGAATTATTTAGAGTATTATGGTAATATGAATAATTTTTAACAACAATTCCCCATTCTTTTTATTTATTAGAGTCTCAAAAGAACCTTTTATATTATAATTCATGTGAATAAATGAGAAGAATTAAAACAGTTTGGTTATAAAAAGTTTTAATGAAATACCTTATTAATACTAAACTAGACATGAGACATTGTTATAAGTTATTTCTTAATAAAAAGAATGTTAATTAGTAATATGTTTTTCTGAATCTTGATACGTCTAGAATTCTTTTGTTCAAATTGGTAATGATGAATTATAATATCGTCCATTTGAAACTACAAAGTATATGAATAATATTAAATATTTAACTTATAAATCCATTTTCACGAATTAGGAGGATTATCCACGTCAATCCAAATTTTAAAAATAAAAAATACACATAACAGAAATAAAAGGATTAATAAATACTACTTCTAATATAACCACTACACCATCAAAATACGTAAGTTTTATCTTTCTTAGAAAAGTAGGTTGTTTCAATAAAACTAGGAATTGACAAAAAGTTAGTAATTGTAAAATTATAAAATTAATAGTCATACGAATAGGCGTATAAGTAAAAAGATCAGCTAAATAATAAATAGATTGAATAGAAAGACTTTATCAAAAATAGTGATAAAAGACATAATAACTAAAAACTAGAAATAATTATGAAATGGCATAGGATTTGGAAATAAAAATTAAGATGAAGAGATTAGAAATAAGATAGAGATTAAAAAAGTGACAGAAGTGATAAGTTCTTTTGTTATAAAATAAAAGAAAAAATAAAATGTAACAAAATTGATTTAAGTGATGATTTATTATTGATCACTTAATGTATTGTGTAATTCTTTTCCATAAAACTGATCAAAAACAAAAATAATTGTATTTAATATAGATTTAGAATATTTGTTGACACATCAATTTCCATTATAAGAGTTAATAGAAAAATCCACTTTTTGGAGAAGAAAAATGAAAAATCTTCACTCATATGAAGAAATTAATAGAAGAGTATTGAGTTCTAGAAGTGAAAGAAGTTTATAAAAAGGAGTACCGAACTTATAATATATCAAGTTATTTTAGATGTCAGTAGAAAGAGCTCTTGTTCTTGCTAAACCAGATGCTGTATGTATCAGACAAGCTCCTATTACTGCAGTTGAAACATTATTAAAGTCTATTAATGGAGGAAAGCTTCTTTGTTTTGAACATCATGTTGTACCAACTGAATTGGCAGAACAACACTATGAAGAACATAAAGGAAAAGGCTTTTTCCCAAAACTTCTTAATTTCATTTGTAATCCAAATGGAGTTATTGTTATGGTTTTTGAAGGTGTTAATGCTGTTAAAACTATTAGAGAAGTATTTGGTCCAACTTTTGTTGAAAAGGCAATTCAAGTAGAATGTCTTAGAGGTAAGTTTGGAAGTTGTGGTGGAATTAATTGTTTCCATTCAAGTGATTCTGCTGAAAGTGGAGCACGTGAAACTAAATTATGGGTTGATTACTTTAAGATTGAATTAAATGAAGAAAAAGCCAAAAAAGCTTTTGATGAATATAAAGCTAAGTATGATGGTAAATATAAATGTGATGTATCTAAAGTTAGAGATATAGTTAAAAAGATTAGGGCTGACTCTGAAGAATATGTTAATGCAATGAAAGAATTAAGTGACTGTGATGACTTCCTTATCAAGCAATTATTAGCTTCAATTATTTTGAATTGATTTTTTTTTAGTATTTTTTTTTGTTTTTCTAAGAAATGCTTAAATTATTAAAGAGAAATAATTTATTCTTAATGTTTCAATTAAAAATTATTGGATTGTGATGATATTACTTTTAAAGTTATATAAACTAAGACTGATGCAAGAACAATACCATTTAAAAACAGTAAATAATCCCATATAGTGAGTTTGTTCACAACTATTTTTTCTTGGAGAATTGTATTTTTTCTAATTCTTTCAAGAAGGTTATCAGCAGTTTGTCTCATTGATTCATATAAATCATATAAGTTACCGAGTTGAATTGTTGTTGTTGATATAAATTGGTCAATTGCTTTTGTAGGTAAACCTTTTGGGACATTTTCTAATGACTCTAATATCTTATTTAGTTGTTGTTGTCGTGCAATAACAAATTTTTTAGTTATTGCAGTTGATTTATCAATTTCATGAATTGTGTCATAAATTATTTTTAAGTTATACGATGATTCTCTTCCAAGTTCTAATGCAGTAAATTCTCTTGTTATTGAATCAAGATTAATACCAATATAATGAGGATTGACGTTATGTGTTGTTGAAGGAGTAATATCTTCAATTTCAATTGAATTAAGAATTTGTGTATCTGATAATTCACCAGTTAACCCAGAAACACTAACAACAAGTCCTTTTGGTAATTTTTGATTATAATAAGTACAATGTTCATTATTAAAATCAATATTAATTTTACCATTTATATAATTAATTGTTAGGCGTTGTGGAGAATTACGATTAATCGTAAATGAACATGTTCTTTTTGAAATATCAATCCCATCTCTTTTTGGTTCGTATGTTAAAGTTCCATCATTATAAATTAATTGAATACTTGGAATTGAAGCATATGAGTTTTGAAATGTATCAACGAATATAGCTAATCCTTTCCATTGTTCTTGTCCACCTAATGCTGTTCCAATTTCAAGTTGTTCTGGAGTTAACCAAAATGCCATTCCATCTCCATGTTTTTTATTGGAAATAGAAAGTAATGAAAATTCATACGTTACATTAAAATAATCACTAAGTATACGTTTTTTTAATGAAACCATACCTTTTTGACTTTTTTTATCTGCAGTAATATACATATACCTTCCATTTGTATACGCATCTCCTTTTATTTGAAATTCATTTGGTTGTGATGCAGCATTATATCGTTCTGATTGTACTTGAATAAACAAACAAATAACAATGATTAATTTCATTACTTCTGATTCTTTTATAGTTTTTAATTTTTTATTTCTATTTGTTTTTATTTCATGAAAAACGTATTTTCATTTTATTACTTATTTTAAATAAAAGTAATATAGATTTGAAGACGATAATTCAGAGGCACTACGCTGAACCCTAAAATAAATGAAAACACTGAACCATTCTAGTTACTATTTGGCTATGATGTTGTTGTTGGTGATATAATATCTATTCAAAATTAATTGGTTATTATTTATTATGAATAAGTCTTAAAGAATTATTTATTATATTATGATGGGAATACTATTTATTTAGAATCAAGTATATTTGATAATGATATTTTGAATTGAACAAGTATGTAATATTATAAAGAAAAAAGTGATTATAAAGTGGTTGTTGATATTAAAGAAGATGAAACATAGTTATAGTGTTATTGATATTTTCAAAATAAAATAATATTATAAAGAGTGAGGAGTTTTAATACTCATCAAATTCAAAATAATAATCAAATAACAATTTAAATGAAGAACATTTAATTCAATAATATTTGAAAAGACTTTAATTTAATAAAAATAAAATGGAGTCATTCTCATCTCTCAATATGATGAAATACTAATTGTTTAGTAAGTTATAATTGATTTTATTTTGTTTTTAATTTTTGAATGAAAAATAACTGTATTAAAAAGAAATAAGTTTTTATTAGAAAATATTATAATATTATTAGCTAATTTGTTCATGATAAATAAGTTATTAGACATTTCAAAAAAATACACATAAACGAACTTAATAATTAATTAATAAAAAAATATTTTCAATACCAATAGATGGATAAATAAATTATTTAATTAAACTAATGAAATACATAATAAATGTATATGATTAAATGTATTAATATTCTTATAATGTAATGATGTTATAAATGACAACTTTCAAATAAAAAGAATGACAATAATAACATTCATGGGATAATTTTCTTTAAATAAACGATAAGGTAATAGAATTTTACTAATAAATAATTAGTTTTTATCAGATAAAATTAATTACTTTTTATTGGTAATTTTTTTTTGGTTTGGAGAAGCAATAAATTATTTTGAAGTAAAACAATTATTTAAACGGAGAATAAAAAAGATAAAAAAACAATCTTTTTATGACAAAAGACTTCATTAATGACCGATTTATTTCAAGAAAAAGAAATTAAATTTGGATTTGATTCTACAACTGACGATGAATCTATGGTAAATAATAAACCAATTGAAGATACTAATAGTCATATTGAAGACTTATTTCCTCCAGAACAATCAACAATGGTATATGTTGAAAGTAAATTCATTCCTAAAGAAAAGAGAGCAAAAGGATTGATTGAACGTGAAAAAGGATATAATAAACATCGTCAAAACTTAAAGAAGAAATATGAAAAGAAACCTCGAAGACCTGGACTAATTCAACACGAAACACTCCAACAACAAATGAAAGCTTCAAAAGAATTTAATGACCCAGCTCCTGTATTTAATATGCCAAGAGACCCAAGAAGGTTACAAGAAAAAGAAGAAACTACAATGGAAAATGAAGAGCCTAAACGCAGAATTATTTTAACAAACAAAATAGAAAGAGAACCTCTCTTTAATTCAGAGACAACTGCTGATTCTTCGACAAATACTATCGATAATGATTTGTTTACTATTGAGGATGACAATGATTTCTTCTCTTCTGATTTTGACTTATTTAGTCATCCAAAGAAACAACATTCAGAAAGTGAAGTACAATTATATTGAGTCAATAGGATCTCGTCATGTGGGGTTGTCCAAGGACTTTAAATTTGGAACAAACTGAAGTCTTATTTTTTATCTTTTGTATTTTTATTAGATCCTTTTTGATTCAAGGATGGTTTATTTGAATCGTTTTAGACATTCAATTGAAGGAAATTCGGATATTCCTCTAAACCATTATGTATCTTATGTTAATATAATTATTTATGACAACCCCAAAATCAGAACTCTCATAATAATAAAGAATATATATTAGTGAGAAAAGTTCTTGTTAAGAATGAATAATTTGACACAAAAAAAAACATCGATAATCTAAAATATTATAATAAATAAGTATTAATTCTAAATGAACATTACATACTAAAATTTCTTTCAAAATGAATAGCCTTATTCTCATAAGGTGTTAGGACAATAAACTCTACCTCAAAACAAAATCATATAAGTTTGGGAGAAAAATCTCTTGGTCGGTTTTGTTTAAAGAAAATTTTAATTCAATTGAATTAATGAATATTGAAAAAAAACTAACTTATTTTCTTCTAAGAATGATAATAAATTATATAAAAAGATAAACGTTAAATTGATATTCTATTTTAAAGTTTCTTTTGTTTTTGGGTAAAATAAAATAACAAAATTTATTAGATACGAATTATTGCTATTAATACGAATTGATTCTAAGAAATATAATAATAGTAGTTAGAAGAATAGATAATAATAGAAATAAATAATATCTTGACTACAAAAAGAGAGATAATAAAAGAATTAGATTAATTAACAAATCAAATGAGTAGTCATCATTAAGAAGTAAGAAAATAATAAGATAAGATGATGATATGAATAAATCGAATAAAGAAAGTTTGAACAAAAAATAAAGGAATTATATTAATTACTTAAAAACTTAGTCTATGTTAAAATAGTAGACAACTTATGAAAAACAAAACAATAAAAATAAAAAATTAATACTGGGTTGTAGAGTAATTAAAATATAATGAAAAAAATTGATAAAGCAAGCTAAAAGAAGATAACATTATTCCAGAAATAGGATTTCTTGAATATTATAGGTTAGTTGAAAAAAAAACTGAAATAATCCTCAAAAAGAATATTCATTAACACTACTGTTTAGATAATGATATTTTAATAATGTTAGATAATTAACATTATATAATGATAAAGAAATATATAAAAGAATGTTTTTATGTATTATGTATAAATTGAATTTTTTATTTTTGGTTTAATATTATGATCAATGTTAATAGAATATGTTAGAAAAAAAGAAAACCATCTATTCAAAAATAATGAATAAGTAATGAAAAAAAATAAGATATGAGCACGTCCAATATATGATATAGTAAAATATAATGTACTTTATTTTATAATATTTATATCAAAATCAAATATATTCAATAAAAGATATATAGTTAGATATAAGGTGAAATTCTTAGAATAATAGTACTGAATTATATTACACTAATTAACCACTTTATATACGACTTATATGTATTATTCTATTAGTGATTGGTTCTATAATCTTTAATTTAAAGAAGATCTTAAAAATATTGTTGTAGAATAATAATTATTCAGATAATAACTTCAGAAGAGAATAGACATGTTATTGAATTAAGTTTGATTCATTTAATAGAAGTAATACATTTGTAAAAAAAATTATAAAGTAATTAAATTCAATTTTTAGTTCGAAGAACAAACACAAAAATGGAATCGTCTTTTAATTTTTTAAAAAAAACATCAAAATGATTTTAATAAATAAATTTGTTATGAGACATAAACTAACTGAAGTAATTTATTTACATAAACTTTTTTCTATAATATTCTTTTTAGTAATTGTTTTTCAAGAGTTAGTTTAAAGTTTTTTGGGTAATTTGGGAAGATATCTTTTTTTCTATAACTTTAGTTTCAAGAATATTGTGAAAGTGTTGTTGAAATCAAAACAAAATCAACTAAAAATCAAGAGAAAAGAAATTCAAAAGAGATTTTTCTAAAATAAATACAAAACATCTTACGAAATTGAAAACAAAAAGAAAAGAACATTATTTAGTTTCTAGAAAGACAAAAATAGAACATTGACAATTCATACTTGAAATTAATAATTGTTTTTTCATAGAAATTCAAAGAAAATGATTTACGAAAGAAAGAATGACGTCAAACCTTTTCTCCTTAACTTATAAAAAAAAGATACATTGAAACATTAATTTCATTTACTCCAAAATAAAAGTTTGACTTGTCTTTCGTAATTTAAAAAAAAAGTAATTTAATTGTTGTAATTGATATTTCAAAAAAAAAAAATAATTAATGGAAAAGAATGATGGATTATAGATAAGGTTACATTCCAGAAATACACCAGCATAATATTTAAAGGGGAATTGAAAAATGGTATTAATTACAATATGAGTTTCAACACATCCTTTACACATTTGATTAAATGTAAAACTATTTACTGTCAAAAAACACCACTTATAGTAGTCAAACAATATGTACGTCCTTCAAGTTTAATTGAACCAACAACAAACAACCTTGATCAAGAAGAAAATATGTTTCTTGATTATGAAGAAGATTTTGTTGTTGTAGGAACTGAATCTGTAGTCAATGAAGATATTCCTATTGAACGTTGTAGTAATAATTCATCACTATGTCTTAACTTTTAGATAAGGTAAGAATCTATGTGTATAGTTTAAATTTATTTTCTTTGTTTACTTTGGTTTAAATGTCTTTTATTTGTTTAAATAATGTACTGATGAATATAATGCTATTAAATAACAACTTTTTGTAAAAATTGCTATTTATAACACTACTATTTTACTCAGAACTAATAACGTTAAAAGAACTTAAAATGACACCTTTAATCCCCAAAAGAAGACTAAAAATATCAAAGGTTAACTCTTAAGAATTAAAAGGATTTAAAAGATGATAAAGAACTTGAAAACATAAACAAAATGACTGAAGAACAAACAAATAACCCACAAGTCAACCCAGAAGAACCACAAATTAATCCAGATGAACCACCTAATTTCAATATTGAATCAGAAGCTGATGTAGAACCATTAGTTCTTCAATTAAAAGCTTTTCTTGAAAAACATGATCTTGATGTTTCCGTTAAATTCAAACCAAAGAAAATGAGAGGATCAACTTCTTTGGTTGATGGAGATGGACTTAAAACAGGAGAAGTTAATATTCCAGCAGACTTCAAAATTACTGGTAAAGATAATAATGGTAAAGATCTTGGACATGGAGGAGATGATGTAAAAGTTAAAGTAATTGATCCACAAGGAAATGAAGTTCCTTGTGAAGTCAAAGACAATGGAGATGGAACTTATGATGTTGGTTATACTCCAGTTGTTCCAGGAATGCATAAAATTGAAGTTCTTGTTAATGATGAACCAGTAGAAAATACACCAGTTGATGTACTTGTCTTTGATGAAATTCCTGATGCACTTAATTGTACTGCTGAAGGAGAAGGTTTAGAAAATGCAGAAACAAAAACACCAGCACCATTTAAGATTGTTACAAGAAATAGAGCAGGTGAACAACTCAAGAATGGAGGACAAAAGTTTAATGTTACTGTCCAAGGACCAACTATTGCTGCTGAAGTTACAGTTAAAGATAATGAAGATGGTACATATGATGTTGAATATGTTGCTAAAGAACCAGGAAAACATCACATTGATGTTCAAGTTGAAACACCAGTCACTCCACCAGAAGGAGAAAAGATTAATCCAGATAATAAGGAAATGAAAAGTATTAAAAATATGCCAATTGATCTTGAAGTTAAACTTAATCATGAAGATGCTGATCCAGCACAATGTTGGGCTGAAGGACCAGGAGTTGAAGGAGGATGTAAGACTTGTGATATGGCAGAATTTGTTATTCATGCTGTTAATCCAAATGGAGAACCATGCACACTTGAAACAGTTCCATTTGATGTTTGTGTAACAGATCCAGATGATGAAGAACTTGAAACTAAAATTGAAAAGAAAGAGGATGGTACATATCATGCAGAATATAAACCAACTAAACCAGGTAAATATAATGTTGAAGTTATTTTAAGAAATCCAGAAGTTCCATCTAACTTTGAACATATTAAAGGATCACCATTTACACCAGAAATTCTTCCAGGTATTACTGCTGGTAATTGTGTTGTTAGTGGACCAGGTGTAGATGGAGGAGAAGATCTTGATGATTGTAATGATGCAGAATTTGTTATTACAGCTAAAGATTATAATGGAGATCCTATTAAAGAAGGAGGAGCTAAATTTGATATTAAAGTACATGATCCAAATGGAGATGATTTAGAATGTGAATGTGTTGATAACAACGATGGTACTTACAGTTGTAAATATGCACCAGAATTCCCAGGTGATTACACAGTTGACATTAAACTTAATGGTGATAAAGTTGGTAAAGCACCATATGAAGTTTGTGTTGGAGAGGGAGTTGATAATCAAAAATCAGGAGTTGATTGCTTCCAATTTACTATTCTTGCTAAAAGTAAAAGAGGAGGACCTGTTAAACCAGGTAATGCTAAATTCTCAGTTAAAATTATTCATGAAAATGGAACAGAAATTCCACAAGAAAATATTGATATCAAAAATTTGAAGGAAGCTAAATACAGAGTTACTTACAAAGTTTCAGAACATGGTGATTATACAATTCATTGCTTATTGAATAATAGAGATATTAAGGGATCACCATGGGTTCAACAATGCTAAGACAGGAAAGAAAACCTTTTCGTTAGTTTAAATTGACCGTTCATTTTTCTGTTTTGTATTATATTTTTATAATCATTGTTATATATAACAATGACTATTATGTTAAATCATAAAATATAATATTTAATCTATTAAAATTTTTCATAATAACTTTTATGTCTCATTACCTTTGTATTATTTTTAGTTTAACACTTTAGATAAACCTGCTGTCATGTCTTATAAATTACTTGAAGAACTAATGATAAAATACATTATATGTAATTTGTTCTTCAAGAAATATAAGAGGTTTATAACTTTGTCTTAACTAATAAATCAATTCATTTTGTTCAACCCCCATTGTGTTGTTAAAAACTCTTTCTTTTTTCACTCCAAGAGTCAGCTTTATTAAAGAAATATTTGTTAGGTAATAATTTAAATTGCTAAAATATTAGAATATAACTATATCGCTTATGTTTCTCATGTACCAATTAAATAGACAATAACATTATACTTATATATGCCTTTAACAAATAAAGAAATTGTACATTTAATAATAGGTAAAAACTTTTAGTAATTGAGTCAAACTGTAAATCCTATTTTTATTTTCTTTTTAAATTCATATTAAATGAAATCCAAAAAACATTAATATCTTCTCATCTTTTGAACAATTCTTTTTAATGTTAATAGTTTTATAGAAAATTTGTCACTAAAGTTTATAAGTTAAAAATAAAAATAATTTTAAACAAGTTAAATTGATAATAAAAAATATATATCATCTATCTATAAATTAAATTCTATTAATTATTGTTATAGGTCAAACTTAGATGATAATATTTTGTATTCTTCTTTTCTGTTTGGTACTAGTTTAATTCCAGTAATTTCTTCATACTTTTGAAGTACAGATTTTTCGTATTTATAACTTGAATGATCAGAAACAGCTGTTTGTTTTGGTTCTATTTGTCCAAATGCCTCATTATCAAATTCAAACCACCTCCCTTCACTAATTTCAATACAATTGCCCATTGGAAGAAGAGCTTGACCAACATAATTTGTATTTTTTATTTTGTCCCAGGTAATTTCTTTTTCTTTGATAACTCGAGCAACAGTTAAATCTACATTTTTTCCTAATGAATCTTCAAGTTCATAATATAAATCATACCCAACAATATTGATAATATTATCTATTCTCTCTAATAATTCTTGCATTGCTCTATGAGAAGCTCTTGGGACAATATCATTTTGATTAATTATATTTAGAATACACTCTTTAAATATTGGCAATTCAGCAATATTAGAAGATACAGCAGGAACAGCACCAAATGCTACACAATAAACAGGAACCATTTTATTTCTTGAACGATATAATAAAGTTACAATCTCTGCAACAGCTCCCCCTAAAGAATGACCAGTACAAAGAACTTTATATTTTGGATACTTTGTTAATAACTTTCTCACTGCTGGAAGTACAGAAATATAGATTGTTGATGCAGTTTGATATATTCCTTTATGAATTAACCCATATTCTCCTTCACAATAAATGCTTTCATAATAAAATGAACAATCAACAAGGCAATCTGTTATAGTTTGTGTTCCTCTACAACAAACTATTATAGCATCAATAGAATGATCAACACAAACATAATGTGCAGGGCAAAATGGTTTTGAATTATGTTGTAATAAAATAATATCATCTGGGTGAATATGATTATACTGAGAGATAATTAAACGAGAAACTTCTTCTTTATTATTTTGGTAATACCTTTTTTCTTCATTAGAAGCATAGCTTTCATATAATGTCCATTGAAATACTGATACTGAATGGGAAATTGCTTTGTAAATGGTTTGTATAGAATGAATATCTACAGAACTTTTGGATATTAATTGATATTTCTGAAATGAATCGTAATTAGACTCTGATATTTGCGACAAAATCAAATAACCTGTCATGAGATCAATAAATGATAACTCAGAAAAAGATTTAAAATAATGAATGACGTCAGACAACGATGATAATGTCTTTTTATTAATTTGAATATCAAAAATGTCTTTCCATGAAGGATTACTTATTGTTGTTAGTGTTGTTGAGAAAGCATCTAGTATAACAGAGAGAATAGACGGTTCTTTATTTTCTTCCATTGACTTTTAGAATCATACAGTTCTGTGTAGATTTAACAACAATTATTTTTAAGATAGATATTGTCATGTTATTCTATTTTAATAACATTGAACATATATTATTATATAATACAGTCATTTTATCTAAAAAAAAAATAGAGAATAAAGACTGTATAATCCTATATATTTCCTTATTTACAAATATAGTTTAAAATTAATTAAATAAATTATATATTTTAACTTATTAAATAAAGAATAAAAAAACCCTTAAAAAAAGAAAAAAAGACAATAAAAGAATAATTATACTATTCTGAATGCCATACACTGAACAAGGATATAAACCAAAACAAAGAAAACACAAAGATACCTCTAAAAGTGATCACGAAAAACCTCACCAAAATACTCACCAAAAGTCACAACAAAATAAAAATAAAAGTGGAATTAAAAGACAAAACAACAGTAAATATACTCAGCCTTTAAAACAACGAAGTAATCCATTTGGAGCAAAGGTTAGTGATGAATTAAAAAAAGAATATCAAGAAAAAAAACAAAGAAAAGAAAGTAATGAAGATGCTATTAATCAAATGAAATTTCTTATTAATTCACATTCTAATACTCATAAAAAATGGAGTGCTGGAGAAATAGAACAATTAATTACTCTTTCAAGGTCTTCAATGTATGAATTATCAATTAAACCAGATGCTTCTAGAATTATTCAAACAATTATTAAAAATGGTGATAATGAACAAAGACAAACTGTTTTAACTGAATTAAAGCCAAAGATTTTTGATTTAACTAAAGACCAATATGGACATCATGTTGTAAAGAAATTATTAAAATATTGTTCTAAAATTGTTCCAAGTTTATTACTTGAATTATATCATACCCATATCTTTGAAATGTTAATGCAAAAATTTTCTAGTGATGTTTTAAAAACTTTATGTGAATTTATTAATAAAACTCAACAAAGAAAATTAATTGAAGAAGTATATGGAGCACAATATGAGTTTTTAAAAAGTAAAAACCCAGAATTAAAAACTTTTTCTGAAGTTATTGATTCAAATGATACTTTAAAAAATGTTATTTGTAAAGACTTAAAAGATAAAGTATTCAAAATTCTTAACAAACAACATGTTTCAACTAACCCATTATTAGCTCAACTTCTTATTGATTATATTAGTTGTGTTGATGAAAAAGATGCATCTGAAGTTGCTGCTTCACTTAGAGAACATTTACAACAATTCTTAACTTTACCTGAAGGACCAAAATTAATGAAATTTGTAATTATTCATTCATCTGCTAAAGCACGAAAAGGACTTCTCAAAGAATGTAAAGAAAATTTAATTACATTGATGACTGACAAATTTGGTCATTATTGTATTTTATACTTGTTAAGGCATGTAGATGATAAAATGGCTTTGAAGAAATATGTTCTTGATAGTATTGAAGCAATGACACAAAAATTAGTTTTTGACAAATGTGGAATTGAGTTATTAGAATTTATCCTTGATCCATTAAGTACACATTTCCTTCCACCATCAATTATTGATCCATTAAAAGAAAAAGGTTCGTTTACTTTAAAAGATGATGACATTCGTTTTAAAGATATGTTAACTGAATTAAAACCTACTCTTCTTGACATTTGTCAAAAAGAGTATAAATCTCTTACAAAATTTAAACCAACAAGAAGATTCTTAACGGCTGTTAAAAAATCATTCCCAGAAGAAACTACATTTATTATTGATGAAGACTTAAAAGGCAAAAAAGTGGGAGAAGAAAATAAAGCTGAAGAAATAAAAGAAGAAAAACCAAAAGAACCATCACAACCTCTTCCTGTTGAAACTGATGCTGTTATGAAAGGTGAAGAAGTAGATGACATTAAAGAAATTAAGAAAGAAGTTGCTGAGGCTAAAGCTGAAAAAGCAAAAGAAATGAAAAAGAAGGTTAATAAGAAAGGCTATTCCAAATGATTGATTTGATTTTTTATCATTATTTTTTTATATATTTCAAAAAATGAGGAGGGTTTTTAATAGAATATAGATGACAAAAGGTACAAATATTGAATGTTTATTTCTTTTTGAAAGAACTTATAAATTTCAGAAGATGGAGGGATTGTTGGATCCTCATTATGTGTGTGAACCATATGAAGCAATAGGGGCTATTAATGACTCGTTACAACCTGAATGCTTTAATGGAATGAAGATTGAAATTACAAAACAACATAATGAAAATTTAGTAACTGGTCATTATTTCACTATCGAACCACCATCTCCAAAAGGACAAAAGTTTAATCGAATTCATTCATTCTTATATTCAGGGTATTGGGGAAATATCATTGCAAGGCTTGACAATGAAATGAAAGGGTCTTTTTTATCATCTTTTAATTTATTATCAAAGCAAATATCAGGAAGTCTTCGAATTGCAAATGGAGAAGATAATGAAATTGAAGCAGGAATTGATGGAAAAGTAAGTGGATTTGGAAAGTGTTTTGGAATGAGATATGAAAAAGGGGGTTTGTACGTATTAAATTTAATGCAAAAAATAACAGATTCATGTTCTGTTGGTACTGAGTGTTGTCTCATTCCAAGTAAGAGAATAAGAACAAACTCATATGGATTATTATGGAATATTACTCCTCAAATTATTTCTACTTTTATTTATTCTCAATTAAATCAAACACTATTCTCTACACTTCGTTATTCTCCATCTCAATACCTTACTTATGGCTGTCAATTTGTTTATCAAAATAAACCACAAAAAGCAATTTATGGATTACTTGCTTTTGAACATTCCTCACAAGACTCATCATTTAAAACAATAGTCAATACTCAAGGAACATTGTCTTCTTGTTTTCAAACAAACCTTTGTCAAATAGCTTCCAATTTATTATTATCTGTTCAAGCAAATCCTTTTATTGGAAGTTATTCTTGGGGTGCTTCTATTCAAATCTTTCGTTAACCATTAAAACACATTTATATTCAAAACTTCACTAATTTATTTCTTATTTTCTTCTTCCATAGCAACAATTGATGAAACTCCTTTTTCTTCTTTAGTCTCAATAATAGCACTGTTTTGTTTCTCTTTTTTTTCTCCTAAGTGTGTATGATGACTGCTTCTGCTTTTATGAGAACTGGAAGCTTTAACTTGCTCAGCCACAGGTTTTTCTAATGTAAGCTCATTTTCTTTTTCTTTTTTCAAAACGCCATCGACTAAATAACTCTTAGGATTTATGAATTTCATTTCAGAAATACAATCATACAACCACTCCTCTTTTACTGCAAATCCTTCTGTCCTTCTTGTTGCATCAGATGCAAACATAGACTTTCCAACTAAAAGAATATCAGAATATTTAGCTCTTGTAGCAAATTTACCTCCTATTTGTTCAATCCATTTTTTAATCATATAGTCTCTAATTTTTAAACCACCATAAATACCAATAGTTTTGTTTTGTAATAATGACTTATCAAATGTAGTATGATTAAGTGCTGGGAATTTGTCTTTCATTAAATATGGTTCAAATGGTTCAACTGCCATTTTTTTATGAGACTCTAATACCCATTTTTCTTCAACAATTGGAATATTTCTAAGAATTGCATCTAGTACTTCAGCTGTTCTTTGTCCGTGTTTATTTACTATAACATTAGCTTTTTCAATTTTAGTTGTAATTCCAAACAGTTCATGTTTATATATTGCTTTTTTGAAATTAATAAGTTCTTGAGGTTCAAACGAAATTATAAACACAAACAATCCACTTTTTGCTTTGACGGGAGAAGACCTATGTTTTGATGGTTTTTTTCTTATATCTTCTTCATCATTATCAGAAGAAGAATCAATTTCATTTGAAAAATTCTCTTCCACTTCAGGAACTTCTTTTGTCTTTTTTTTTAATCGTCTATTTACCATTTTTTCTTTTTTCTCTTTAATATTTTTTGGTTTATCTTCTTCTATTGCATCGTTCTTTCTTCTTGATCTATTAGTTTTTTTTTCATAGTTAGGAACTTTTTTTACTTCGTTTAATAATTGTTCAATTTCAAGTGTAAAAATATTATATTTATCTTTACCTTTAGTTACATATGCAAAAGTTCCGTTAATAATAGACCCACAAATAATTTCTTCTTTTGTTTGAACTGAAGAAATAATGTCTTTGTCTTTTAAATTCCAAGCATTAATATCCCCATCCATTCCAGTAGAAATAATAACATTTTCTTTGTAATAATTAATAGAAGTGACCTTATAAGTAGTGTTTGTTTCTCTATTACAGTGAGCATAAAATGTAAATTGTGTATCATCCTTAACTAATGAAGTAATTTTTCCATTTTCTGTTCCAACTAAAACGTAGTCTCCATCTGGAGTAATGCAACATGAATTAGGTATTCCATACACTTTCATTCTTCCACCAGAAAAGTAAATAGGACTGAGAGACTCATAACTAATAGCACTAATAATTTCAGTTCCTTTCTTTGTAATAATAACAGCAGTATTGCCATTACATTTGATATCAACGATTTCAGGAATATCAAATTCTTTTTCTTCTTTAAATTCTTCATTATAGACTTTTACTATTTTTCCATCAAGTCCAACGAATATTTTGTCATTTGAAGCTGCAATAACACTACATTGGTTTGAAAAATTAAGTTGTTCTTTTAATTGTTTATTTTCTAAAAGATATAGTTTTGTTGGAGAGGCGATATAATACTTCCCATTAAACAATATTGTGCCAATGGCACTTTCTTCAATTCCAATTTCAGTCGAAGATTTGTCATCAACACAAACAATTTTACCATTTGTACAAATAATGAGATATTCGTTTTCTGAAATAAGAGTTATGCACTTAACTTCATCATCTATAGACTTTAGTAATTTACTATTGTTTTTAACTATAGAAATATCCATATACCAACGTGACATCAATTAGTATATTTTATTTTTTAATTATTAGTTAAAGATCTAGACTTGTTATTGAGTTTTTAAAACTATTTTAGAATCTTATTTCATCTATTGATAATTATTATATTGTTTCGTATTTAGTTCATTTTCCTTCGATTTTTCAGTTAAACTATTATTTTACAAATTTCTTTTTTCCATATAAAAACTTTAATTTTGTATATACAGTCTATAGCAATAAAACTTATGTTTTTCAATAACTTTTAAAAAAAAAGATAATAATAAGTAATTAATTAAGTGTTAATAGTATCGTCATTTATTCATTATTTAATAGATATTAGTCATATCATACATCATTAAAATGAGTAGTTTATTTGTTTTATTTATTATTTAGGTTTTCTTCTTGTTTTTTGAGTAAACTTTTTTCTTTTATATTATTTCTTTTTATTATTATTGTCTTTTCATTCTTCTTTTGTTTTATTTCTTCTTTTTATCTTCTTTTCTTTGATTTTATTTTAATTGTAATGAATTTTATCTTTCTTTATTTCTAATTTTATAAATGAACATTTCATTATTATATTATTAAGTATAATTTCTTTATTAACAAAAGATAGGTATAATCAGGAAGCAGAATGCGGGAACTGCAAGATGATATGAATATTTCAATGTGTGTGCACCTCTATCTCCAAAATAAAATAATAAGAGATAAATTTGATGAAATAAAAGAAGTCCTAAATAAAATAAATAAACTAGAAGATCTAGTCAGTGAAAATTGTACAGAATAAACTGAATCATGAAATTAAATGAACATGATGAAGAATGAATAAAACATAAATGAATAGAAAGAATAAAGTACCTAAAATATAAGATGACCATGATAAAAGAAAGAATTAAATTTAATAAAAATGAAATAATCAGAATCAATACAAATAAAATCATGTTTGATTCTAACAAGAAAATTAGAATAATGAAGAAATACCCAAATAATGAAATATACCCAAATAACGATATTTCATTAGAATATTGGAAATGTTATATGAAACACAGGTGATATTAAATAAAGATAATGGAAAATAAAACAAATCATCTCGTGGAATGAAAGATATGTCAATTATGATAGTGTCATTATAACATTAAATGAATTAAATTTAAGTATAATGAAAATAAGTAACTGAAAATATCCATTGACACAATATAAAAGTAATAAAACAAATAAAATACAAAGATAAAAATGTATAATAGTTAAGAAGAATAAAATGAGTTTGATAATTGATATAACTATTATTTCATCTCATAATATCATTGGAAGTATTTGAGGAATGGAAGTGATTATAAATAATGAATAGAATAAAGAAAAATAAGAGATATAAAAATAATTGACTTCATAAATTGAAACAATGGAATAATAAATACAGAAAGTATTAAATTTAATTAAATAAATAAATAATAATTGAAAATAACATTTTAAAAGAAGTTAAAAACATTGTCATTATAAACATGATTAATGTAGTTGAATAGTGTTTCTATCACATTAAAATATATCTAGTAGAGTTAGAATTAATAGAAGAATATTCATATATAAGAATAGTCTCAATTGAGCAAGTAACAAGAAAAAATAAATTTATTTGTTATTTCTTTATTTTATTTCTTAAATACTTTATTCTGTTTAATTTCATCATCACAGAAAATAATTGAAACAAGTATTAAATGACTATCATCATAATTAATTATTGTTTCAATTAAAAACATTACATTATTATATAATGGATATTTGAAATAAATTATCATTAAATTATTTTGGTTATTTTGGTTTGTTTCTTTATTTTCATATTGGGTTGGTTGAATTTCTTTTTGTTTGATGAATATTTTGTATTTTATTTCAAATATCATTGAAACATTAATTATATTTTCTTTCTTTTGAACATTCTTTTGGATATTTTCTACTTCTTTTTATTTCAAATAACATTATTGTGATTTGTGTTTATGTTTTTAATGTTACTTCTTTAATTTTAGTCTTTATCTTTCTTTCTGAAACATTGATTTTGTTGTTTGAAAAGTAATATCCTCATTTCATTCTTTATTCAAA